AAGAGCTGCAAATGATAGAGGGAGACGGAGAGCCATGATCGCCTACGTCCTAAAAGGACATGGCACATAAAAAGATAAGGTGTTTCACATTGCGTCCTCATATCAGATGCCTCGGATGGGTGTTGATTGTTATCGTTTAGCGGCAAAGCAACACCTCTATGGGTTATTTACACCAAAATCTAAATATTTTGTAAGCAATTTTAATTTTATTTTTTGAGATAATAATGATTTTAGCGATACAAATCTTACTAATTAACCCATAGCTGGGGGGAGGAGGTGTATTGATACCTTTCCCAAGGGTATCTGCGCGTAAGTGAATATAACGAATCCAACTGGAAATGGAACTCGGCTCTCCGATTTACAATTCCGAGCCATTATCCATTTCACCACCTATACATCCAAGATTGCAACACTTGATATTCCCAAGTGGTCACCCATCTAGATAACGGTAAAACTAAATATTGCTTAACTTCAAGGTGGTGTGACTGTAAGCCTCAGATTGGTGTGTAGCATTTAATTTCTAATGCTTGGATTCTTCGCCCAAGTTTCGCGACGGACAGAAAAATTGAGAATCGACACAAGAGGCTACAGTCTGAAATCTGTGTACAAATATGTTTCCCTATTTTTTAACAGGTGGACCCGTCTGTTTAAGTTGTCCCTTAAATTTCTCCAAAATGGTGCGTCTCTTTAAATGTCTTCTATGTCTATTTGTCGAATGTATCCGAAATAAACGCGAAGATGATGAGACGGAATGAAAAATTTATTAACGACACGTTTCGCCGGTTATATATGAATGGCTGCGGGTATAGATATAAGAAATAGTTGGATGTTTGTATATATGTTTACGAGTATGCATAAAAATATTCTATGACGAGAATATGTGCGGGTGTATATATATATTTCTAAACATCGCTTGAGAATGAAATTGTACTCTAAATTTTAAGTTTAATATTGAAATTAAACTTTAGGACTTGAGTCAAGTTTCGAAACAGCAATTTCTGTGTCGCGATGGAATCATATTTTTATTCATTATATCCTATCCAAATATTTTACAAAAAATTACAGCCGATTACACAATATTTCAAGCTCAATTTAAATTTATAGTTCATAACAATGCAATGAGATGAGATAACATAAATCGTAGATTTGTTTGCGGAATATCATTACATTATTTTTACATAATTATAGTGAAATCATTAAGGTTTTTTGTCAAAAACATTTTATTATTGGTCGTAGATTAATTTAAAATATTCCTTTCTTTTCAGGCTTTATTTTTGAAATGGAAGAAGATCATTCTAAATTTCAGAATTTTGCTATTGCCCATCAAAATGACTGGAAGAAAGCGATCTAAAAACAACAATGGAAAAGAGAGGTAACAAAGCGTAAATGAAATAACCACGGTTTGTTCAACTTAGGAAAATTATTCAAAAATGCTGCCAATAACAAAAGGGAAAATGAAAAATACCAAAAAACAAATCGAATATAGCATCAAAATTTATATTATTTTTATTTATTTGTTATGTAACTAAATACATAATTGTCAACAATGTTTCCGTAAAACTTGATATTTCCTGTAATAAATTCTTAATAAATATTATTATTTTTATTATTTTACTTAAGTGTAAGGTAGTCCGACATTTACAATTCCTTATGGCTAAGCATGAAAAGAAATGTTGTTCAAAACTGCTTAAAACCTTTAAGTTGGTATTGCTGCAAAATTATCAAATGTTGAATACGCCCTCCTCTGCCGGACGCGTATATATATATATATATATATATATATATATATATATATATATATATATATATAAATATATGTATTTAGGCAGCATCTTTTCATTCATACACGTTTCATTAAATAATATAGACAAGTGTTCTCTATTTATTTTATGCAATTTTTTTTCGTAACATCTGATAAGTTTAATAACATTATCGTTGAACGAAGAAAGAAATTCACAATATTGATCCATATTTTTTTAATACAATCTAAGCTTACATAAGCCATTATCAAAGATGTCAATTACAACATATTAAGCAATATACGGACAAGACAGTGAGGATAGTCTGTCAATGTTTACATAGATGATTTCTAAGCAACGATAAACACACGCATATAAGACGTTAGAAGCGAAAATCACACCGCATCTCATGACGTCACACATGAACACACGAGAGTGAATTGGAGAAGTATAAAGTATGAAGTATGGGAAACCGTTGGTATAAACCAATGGCTTCTGTTACCAATTATAGACATTTAAGAATATTTGTAGAGATGCCATAATTGATTTTGTTTAGGTTGGGTTTCAACTGTTTGATGTATAATGCTTCAAGGATTTTTAGTTTTTGTCTATTGTTTTCATGTCGAAGTATAATTGTGTTTTCGACAAGTATTTTATGGAATTGTGTGTGCGGGCAGGCATGTTGTTTTAAGTGCCTAAAAATGTTAGAGTTTTCATTCAAATGTGGTGTCAAGCGCCGTGAAAGCGAGTTTGTGGCTGAATGATTTTGGTAAGACATGTTTAAATTTATTTGTCATCCATGTGAAGAAACGAAATTCATAATTCATTTGCATTTAATTTTAATGATTCAAAGAATGCCAAACAGAATGGTTGGCCCTCACGTATATTTACCTCATCAAATCTGACCCTCTTTGAAAATAATTTGGACAACTTTGTAATAAAATGGTAAGTGACTGCCTTGTTTTCAGGTTTCTGTTTCAGACAACCTATTTAATGTCAAAGGATCTTCGAGAAATTCTGTCATTTTTGTGTGACATTTGCAATCGTACATCGTACTTTAATTAACACAACTGACACTGTTTCAATAAGATCATCCTTTATTTTTTTTACAATTTTACGAAAAAAAACGGCAAATAGAATGAACAATTCAATTCCTATCAATTAAAATTAAACAACAAAAACACTGAGATTGTATTTCTAAAGATAACCAAACAGAGATTGTTAAATTATAAAAAAAAGTTCTTGATGCTTGTAAAATCTCTTTGGTTTTATTTAATATTCTCTTTTCGTCAAATTATATGACGCCATCAGTTTTGCATAGCCTTCCTTGTCTGGAACTGTAGAATCTTCCGGTAGAACTATGTCTTTCAAGTGGAACGTCTGGGCATCTCGGCCACAGACGACTTCATCATAAGAGTCATAATCGTCTGTTGGAATTCCGTAAAATAAAGAAAAGTTACACATTTCATCAGTGTGCTCGAACCTGTTGAAAAAAATAAATAAAGATAACATTAGATTGGAACAAAAATTTGTATCAACAGGCAACGCGACACTCGCCCAAGCTTCCCACCGACCGACTAATGATTACCCCATCTTGCATTTCTTGATCTCGTCGGAGTTCACAGAAAGCTGGGAAAGGGCCCGCTGCGCGTTCACAAGGTAACAAAATGAAAGAAAACGACCACGTCGAGAAATAAGAAGTCGAGCCTTATTTCCCATATTATAAAATATATATTTACTCTATTTGCATTGTTTGGACTGTTATCCTTATCTTTATTGTCACATTCACGACCGTTCTACGCCCCGGCCTTTATGTGATATTTGTTTCGAACTGAACTCTTTATTTGGTTCACGGTGGGGGGTAAAATTGTTCTAATTCCACCTGCGATGCATTTTCGGATACCTTAGTTTTTAGTTATTTTTTTTTTTGCAGTAAGTTTCACCCTGTACAAGGCCCGGGAAACACTCGAGGTAGAGGGTTATATTAAGGAGTAGTTTATATGGATAGGAGGGGAAGATAGCGATTGACTGTAGACTTGAACAGGTTAAGTTTTTATTGATCGGAGAGAGGTCCTCTTGGGAGTCATTTCTATTGAGCAGGGGTTCAAAGAAAGTGCTTCACAGGAAGTCCTTCACAGGAAGTGCTTCGTAGGAAGTCCTTCACAGGAAGTGCTTCACAGGAAGTCCTTCACAGGAAGTTCACCGATGAATTATGGAGAGAATGTGAAGGATTTGCTACGCTGTAAGTAACATGGTGGGTCCTAGCCTTGAAGGTTAGAATTGGTTGGACCAAAGAATGTAGTTCCCTTAATAACTCAACTCTCCAAATTTCTTGTTCTCTTTGTTGAGGCCAGGGATTGAACTCACAATTCTTTGGGCCATGTTACTGTTAGGAACAACCAACGTTTTTATCCACTGCGTCATGTTTTCTTGGTGACTCGTCGTGAATGTGACAATAAAGTATTTTTGCCAAGTATCACCTACCTAATCCCAGAATAAATCATATTTTTTTTTATCTCTGTCTATATTTCCGAAAAATGTCTATTTACATTGTTCGGACTATTATCTTTATTGTCACAATCACGACGTTTCGACCATTGTAAGCCCCAGGCTTCTTCAGATGATATTTATTGGAAATCCGAACTGAATTCTTTATTTATTCCACGGGGGTAGATTGTTCTAATTCCACCTGCCATGCCTCTTTGTATGTCTCAGTTTTTACTTAATTTGTTTTTAAAGTAACGTTCACACTGTACAAGGCCCGAGGGCCACTCGCGGTAGAGGGTTATGTTATGAAATGGAGTGGATCCAGTGGCAAGATGGCGCGTCGATCTGGCCCGATAGTTTGGCCCCTAATGGCTCAGTTTGGTCAGAGATAGTAAGTGGTGGAGGTCAACCGGATGGGTTCCGCAACACGAGTTAGATGTCCCTGAATTAAGGTTAGGGTTGGGGTTAGTAATTGTTTCATTAGACGTTCGATGACGTTACTTACCCGAATTTTGCAATCTTGTCTGTGGGGTTTGTAAGAGTACAACGCATAATCTGGAAGAACAAAGTAATATTTTAAATATTTCATACAAATTTCATAGATAGATAGATATGAACAGAATGAGATAGATAGATAGATAGATAGATAGATAGATAGATAGATAGATAGATATGAACAGAATGAGATAGATAGATAGATAGATAGATAGATAGATAGATATAGATAGATAGAATGAATGAATAAAAATATAGATAGATATGAACAGAATGAGATCATAGAATGAGATAGATAGATAGATAGATAGATATAAACAGATAGACAGATATAAACAGAATGAGATAGATAGATAGATAGATAGATAGATAGATAGATGAGATAGATAGATATAAACAGAATGAAACAGATATGATGAGATAGATAGATAGATAGATAGATAGATAGATAGATAGATAGATATAAACAGAATGAGAGCGACAGATATGAACAGAATGAGATAGATAGATAGATAGATAGATAGATAGATAGATAGATAGATATAAACAGAATGAGAGCGACAGATATGAACAGAATGAGATAGATAGATAGATAGATAGATAGATAGATAGATAGATAGATAGATAGATACGAACAGAATGAGATAGATACGAACAGAATGAGATAGATATATAGATAGATATGAACAGAATGAGATCGATAGTTAGATATATAGACAGATATAAACAGAATGAGATAGATAGATAGATAGATAGATAGATAGATAGATAGATAGATAGATATAAACAGAATGAGATCGATAGATATGAACAGAATGAGATAGATAGATAGATAGATATGAACAGAATGAGATAGATAGATAGATAGATAGATATGAACAGATTGAGATAAATATATAGATAGATATGAACAGAATGAGATAGATAGATAGATAGATAGATAGATAGATACGAACAGAATGAGATAGATATATAGATAGATATGAACAGAATGAGATCGATAGTTAGATAGATAGACAGATATAAACAGAATGAGATAGATAGATAGATAGATAGATAGATAGATAGATAGATAGATATAGCGGTCGATTCATTAAAGGAATATGACTATCACAGACATGCTTTAAATCTCATAAAACAATCAATGGTTTTGAAGCATGTAAGCCATTTGCTAGATTTATTGCATAGACGGCAGACAGAGGCTATTAATAGTCAGCCATTGTTATGCTTATTACGAAATTGTATGTGTTGAGAAAAAGGCTGGGCATTTAAAATCGGGTAGGGAGTGGGGATAAAATGTCTTAAAATATGTCAAGAGGAGAAATTGGCAAGAAGTCTACACCCTGAATAGTACAATCTGCCTAAACACGACAGTCTGCAAATCTTACTAGCAGGTTATCAGCCCGGATAAGTACTGTTTATATTAAACTAGCTCGACCCAGGTAAGTTAAATATCGTCCAATAAAAAATTATTAGTTAATAAAAATTGTTTAATTTGCACTCTTTTGATTAATAAAAATATATTATCCTTTATTTCAATATTGAATAACCTAAGTTTATTTTAACTTAAGTTACAGTGTGAAAGCATATATGAAATACATCTATTACAGCACTTCCCTCTATACAATGTTTCTAGCGAAGGTGATTCCCCTCTTGCGACCATGAGTGGATTGTTTCTGAGGTATCACTTTAACTCCCACACTGTTCATCGTCCTTGTTTTGAAGATCGATTTTATTGAACTTTATGGACATCAAACTGTGAAATATTTCGAAATTGTAACTTTTTTTTATTTTTTCGAACACCGCTGACAAAACTAAACTGGCCGTGCGTCTCGAAAAGGACCTCCAATCGGTTGTGAACTGGGGCAGGAATTGGCTGGTCAACTTTAAGACTTCAAAAACAAAACTGCTCTCTATTAATCACCACAGAGATCCTTCCCTTCCCTTCATTAGAATGTCTGACGCTCAACTTCTCGAGAGCAACTCTCTGCGGCTGCTCGGTCTCACGTTGACGGCTGACCTGAGATGGAACAAATACATTGAGTCAATTGCTTCGTCCACCGCAAGGAAACTTGGCTCCCTGTGACGCGCCAGGAAATTTTTCTCCCCGGAATCGATCCTCCAGATCTACACGTGTGTGTGTGTGTGTCTGTGCGTGTGTGTGTCTGTGCGTGTGTGTATCTAATTATGTCTCGGTGCTTATGTATTATAATCTGATTGTGTTTTTGTTGTTTTGCGCTTGAGTTTAAGACCACATTCACACACTTTAAAATAAAAAGGAAAAAAGAAAAGGAAAAGAAAAAATATATACATGTATTGTCAAATGACCGGATATATTGTAAAGTCTTGTAGAACGTAATTTCAATGAAGAAATGAATTGAATAAACATATATATTTTTTTTTTTCTCAATAATTTTGTAGTTTTAAACTTAAGAGATATTAAATTTGGATTTTAAAATTGCCAGTTTTTAATTTTAATATTAAATTTTATCATATAATTTTATAATTATTGGTTAGTATAAATTATTTTTAATATTACACGTATTTTAAATATCTGAATAGTTATTATAACATAATTTCGTTGTCAAGCTTTTGAATCTTTCTATACTTGGTTTTTGATTGGTTATTCTAGCTTTTGTAACAATGTTTCCCCCTAGTGTAGGATCGTTAATTAATCTGAAACTTTTAAAACCATTTATTTTATTTTCAACATCATCACTTGATAAGACACAGAATGTGTTGAAACAAAATGGCTATTTTTGTAGTGATTTTATAACATACTTCTGTTATAATTTTTTTTTTTATAAAAAATAATTATATCTGCTCTACTTTGTATTGAGCACTCTTTTAAGAATAGTAATTGTAGGTTATTGGAATTCATTCCGTATATACCAATTTTATACTTGTATATATATATATATATATATATATATATATATATTTAACTAATATATTTAACTAATATATATATATATATATATATATATTATATATATATATATATATTTAATTAATATATATATATATAATATATATATATATATATATATATAATATATATATATATATATATATATATATATATAACTAATATATATATATATATTTAATATATATATATATATATATATATATATATATATATATATATATATATATATATATATATATTAATTTTCCTTGATGAGTTTGAAAGGTGTCTCTGAGCTTTGGTTAACAATCCCTTTAGTGTCGGTTTCACGATAAAAAAGAATTCAGATGGGAAAGAAAACTTGTGACAGCTTAAACCGGTCATTATATTGCATGTGTCTGCCGAGAGGCGTGTACTGGCTGATATTGATTGTCATCCGGAGAGGTTAAACTCCGCGATAATAACACATGAGGACTGTCGTCCGGAGTTTCAGTGGCAAGTCTTTTGAACCGTTCCTTTTTTTATCGAGAAGTCCAAAAAGTGTGGATGGTCCGACACAAGCCTTCACCACTTGAAACAAATCATTGTGTTGGTTTTCTGACAACTACATCTAATTAGTTCCACACATATCCGGCTACTGTGAAAAACTCTACGAAACAATATCAACTTCATCTTGGCACTTGGAATGTACGAACTCTCCAGGACAACAACTCAGCACCAGAAAGAAAAACAGCTCTGGTCGCTTTGGAGCTAAAGAAGTACAACATTTGATATAGCTGCACTGAGAAGTAAGCATCAGCCGACTACATGAAACGACAAAGCAAAATAAAACATCTAACAGTGTTCCTGCTGCACTTGGATACAATGCATTCTCCTGTACTGTTTGTGGTCTTTTGTGCAATTCTCTAGCTGTTATCAAAAGTTATACCCGTTTATGTTTATTATGCAGATAATTAGTTCGTGGTCGTCGGAACCTCATACGTCGAACTCGATGGGAGAGTCCATCATATTTAACTGAATGTATGTACTTTTATGTACGTGTCTAGAATTATAGAAATGTTTTATTTTATATATATATAAAAAAAAAAAAAAAGTAGTCGAAAAACTAGTACAGAATGTATCCATTTCACTCAGACGAATGGCATGAGACAGGGGTCAGGGGAGGGTGAAAAGCATTTGTCTTAAAAGGAAGATGTTTTATAAAACTAAACCCGGATATTAACCTTATGACCTTAATTTAGGGTTATAGAATAAAATATTAATTTAAAAGTAAAAGAGAAATTAAGAGGGCTCTAAAAATATAAACTTTCCCCTACTTTAATATGTTCCCAACTCTCTTTCCATTAATCCTTTACATCCTTTTATCTATATATTTTTAATCTATATATAGATAAAAGGATGTAAGGGATTAATAGAAAGAGAGTTAGGAAGATACTAAAGTAGGGGAAAGTTTATAGATTATAATTAATATAGTGTAAAGTGGTTACAGAGGGTGGGAAATTAAACATAAAAATTAGAATTAGTTATAATGTCGACATTTGAAAAGTTAAAAGGGAGTGAATATTATGGAAATATAACAGCTAATTAAGTTAAACCCATATTATGGAAATTTGAATTTGTTTTTATGTCGACATTTTAACACTAATTCATTCCTCTGATTAAATAATTGGCTTTGACTATTTCATTTTATTATTCTAATTTTTTCTTCTTCTAAATTTAAGTCACACCTATCTCTAAGACAATTAACTGTCTGTGCGGAACCTTTTTATACTCAGGTAGATCTGCATGTGCCGTCTACTGAACAATTTTCTTTAAACCTACAATTACAGTTGACGGTTTAATACCAGCTTTGTTGTTTGTCCTAATAAAAATTGTAAAATATGGTTATTGTCATATATCCTGGGAGATCTGCATCCAGGTAAGATAAGAACATTTAAAAAATGTAAATAGTGCTCTACCGTTGAGCGATTTTTAACATGTTTTCTTTTAATCTCCGATAATATATATATATATATATATATATATATATATAATATTTTTAGAGATTTTTAATTTGAATTTTCACATAATAATTCATTTAGTATAGAACATGAATCATCAACAGAATGCAGAAAGCACCGTACGGCCGTTTCGTCCATTTTTGGGGTTCATCATCAGTACGTAACCACTACTGAGAATCAAACCACTTGAAATTAAGAATAGCTGCGCCATATTGAGTCTAGTTAGATTCCTCTTCGTCACAGAGACTCAGTGGTATGACACTTGCGTTGTATCGTAACAGTCCGTGTTCGATTCTTGTTAGTGGATGTGCATTGCTGATGAGTTCCAAATAAGGACGAAACGTTCTGCATTCTGTTGATGATTCTTATCCTAGACTCAGTTAATTATTAATTTATTATCTGAAATATATATATATATATATATATATATATGTATGTATTGAGCACTTTTTTTAAAATAAAAACAAAAATACTAAAGAACTTTGGAGCATCGATCTAACTGTTCTTTCCTATTTTATCAATATATTTGCAGACACACACGCACACACTATGGGATACAAAAGACATGAAATTGTGGAGATTCTTAGTCGCCCACGTCCTGATGAGATACGGCAAGCAGCAGCAGCAGCAGAAGAAGAAGAAGAAGAATGTGACACTATTTAGCTATGGTAACTAGCCAACTAATCAATTATAGAAATTAAAAACAGGAAAGACTTAAGGCGAGAAAGAGCTATATCGTATGAAAGACTGAGTGACGTTAAAAAGAAGATTTTATTTTATTTACGAAAAAAGATACTTTTCACACGAGACAGAAAATCCGTAAGAAAAAGCGAGATATGAGATTCTGTCAAAACTGATTAATGTCATGGTAAGGGAATGACTCGCCAAGGGAAACAGAATTCAGAAAGAAAAACAAAGCCGGCCGACACATGGTGGTCATAAAAAACATTCGGCTTGAGACGACCGCGATACATGCAGAGAGAATCGATATTAGATATCTTTCAGAGATATCATTTAATTTTAATTCCTGGGTCCAACGAAGGGAAATCATCTGGTATGTGTTAGAATTTTGGCATGAGGAAGAAAATCGTGGAGGAAATTATTATTATTACTTTTTCAAACTGTTGACGTCAGAAACAGCGTCGTCGAAAATGGGATCTGGGGATAAAAGGATTTTATGGCATGAGAAAAATAAAGAATTTGATTCTCAGGTAAATACGGACCCCCCAGTTAAAAGTTGAGTTATCAGAGAAGCCAGATGTCGGGTTTTGACAGTGATTGATGAATCGGTAGAGAGACCTGACTAAGTGAATTTTGGGTGTCCTCAAAAGAAAGATGTGATAAGAATTATTTGGCA